TCTCTCTCTCTCTCTCTCTCTCTCTCTCTCTCTCTCTCGCGCTCTCTCTCTCGGTCTCCTTCACTTTGGCTTCTACTTTGGTTCGGTAGGGGCCGACATAGCCGCAGGCGACCACCTCGACAATCTCCTCTCTTCCTTTTCTACGTCTTCGCTTTCGTCGTCTCCTTCTCTTTCTTCTGCTTCTTCTTTTTCTGCCTCGACCGCTGTCCCGATCCTTTTTTTTCCCGAGCCCGGAAAACAACCTTCGGTCGGGCTCATCAGGACGTTATTTTCGCAACATCTTGACCGATAATCGCTTTTCGTTTTGTTCCTCCGATCGGCGCAAAAACCGCAATATATGTACACAGTTCTCTCTCTCTCTCTCTCTCTTTCTCTCTCTCTCTCTCTCTCTCTCTCCCTCTCTCTCTCTCTCCCTCTCCTTCCTTTGTACCATCGCCATCACCTTCCATGTCTCTTTACCGTACGATTGCAAGATCTCAAAAACGTCGACGGCGGTGGTCTGGTGTGGCCGGATAACGGCGATTATCTCCCGTAAAAGAACCCGCGCGCATGTAAGTTCCCGGTAATACCATTTAGATTACACACGATTACGGCTACCGGTGGTAGGGCATCTCTCGGCATGAAATTCAGTCCTTTAGGCACGCCATTACTTCAATTAGCTACTTACGTAGAAACGCAATTTGCGTTGAAACGATATATATATAGAAGTACTACAAAGTTTAATGAGATTCTGACATACACTTAAGCAACACATTTTATAGACTTAATAGTTACACGCTTTCCCCCGCCGGCGCAATTGAACTTAATCATTGCGCGTGAAATTCATAAAAATTGATCTGATGAGAAGACGCGCGCGCGAGAGTTAACCCGTACGTGTTCGCGTGCTGAAAGGCGCTCAAGTAACAAGCTCTCTTCTTGCTCGCGCGGCAATTATGCAAACTATCGTCTTGTAATTTCGTGTACCTTCATTTAATATAATTCTCCGGGATATGTAAGTTCTACATTTAAAGACGCGGACACCTATCGTGTAGCTTGTAATTTTAACTCACAGGTGCACGCGTCCCGCGCGTATTAGCGAAATTTCGTTTCCTCCTCCTGTTGTGACAAATTTACTAATTATTTATTAATCGCGTAATTTTTTCACGGCTGGTCAGACAAAATTAACTGTCTCACCGCGTGATGCATAGCTTTACACACGCCTCAAAATATCGCGATAAATTCGCCGCACCGTTGGAACACTCGTGGCATTTTCGTTTCCGCGTAATTCCATTCCACCCTTAACGTCGGTTGAGAAAATCGCCCTCTCTCTCTCTCTCTCTCTCTCTCTCTCTCTCTCTCTCTCTCTCTC